GCACGATGGGTCAAAGTCAGGGGATGGGAGGGGTGGAGGAGCAGGACCTTTGCACTGGTATGAGGCTATCACAACAGAGGAGCTGCTTTACAGTAACACTCTCAGGTGCAGGAAGCGTTCCTGCTCCTTTGCCCCCAGTGCTGAAATGGAGTGCCGTGTTGGCCCACATTAAGACTTGCCATGGGTAGTGAGGGTAGGCGAGGGGCTTAGATGTGCTTAGAAGCTGTCAGGGGTCATATTCACTTCTTTGAAGGCAGAGAGGAAAGGACAAGAGAGAGGATAGGGACAAGGGAACGGGAGAGAAACCAAATGGTTTCATTTTAATGTATCCAAATCTTAAAAAATAATTGCTGCCCAGTGCTCTGGGACAAGGCATAGTCTTTTTTTCTTTGTGAGTTGGAGACAGGAAAAACATTTCCCTGGGCCAGAAGGCAGCATGGAGCTAGGCTCCATGCAAGGGTCTGTCAAGTCCAGACCCTTTCTCTGTACCCCGTGCTAGTTTTTGTTAGGCTGCTCACCAGTTGCTAGGGTTTTTTTGTTTTGCTTCAATCATTTTCACTGATGAGAGCATCTGCTGCCATCTGTGCCTCCCCCTCCTCCCCCCGGCAGGGCTGCGCACCGCCGTGGTCTGCCTGCAGAGCCAGGCGCTCTTCAGTGTCCAACCTGCACACGGATGAGGGCACGGAGAGGAGGGAAGAGGCAGCTCCATCAGTGTCCAGCTTTCCCCCTGTGTTTGCCAACCCTAGCTGGGCACTGCTGCAGTTGTACCCATCACAGGACACCCACAGTGCCAAGGTCCCAGAACCTGGTGGCTCTCAGCAAGGCTGCAGTTCTGCCTTTGAGAAGCCATCAACCTATGAGATGGTGTCGGAGGGGAAAAGAGGGATGAAAGGGCTTTGCTAAGGTCACCCAGGACATCAGCACGTGGCTGGGAAGGGAGGTGAGAGTTGCTACTTGCTGGCAGCGTGACTCTCCTCCTGGCCCATGGAGAGCCTGGGAAGCAGGGCTGTGATGTCGGCTTTGCTGGAGGATTACACACCCCAGAGCAGAATAGAGGTTGCCATTTGCACCTCTCTCTGACACTTAATTTGGGTATCCAGGCCGATGGCTGCTCCAGGCCTGGCTCACCATGCTCTGCCTGGCAGCTCATCCCAGGCAGAGGAGCCGGCGGGTGTCGACACTGGGTGGGAGGTCCTTACCTGAACGAGCTCCATCTCATGTTTATTACTGCCAGCCCATAGATAAAGGAGAATTGTGGGTCGTGTTTACCAGACAAACCAAATCCAGGTGATCCCATCTAGGATTCGTGCTGCTGTCTGCACACTGGCTTGGTGGCACTTGTGCCAAGGAGGGATCCCCGAGCAGCGTGGCAGCGGGGGCAGAGGCTCGGCTGGGCACTGAGACTTGCGTAAGCACGGCAGGGTTTGCTCACGCACTGCGGGGCTCCCAGCCATCTTTCCCTGCCAGCGTGGAGGGTGAATGTGCACCGGTGCCCGGGCCTGACGCACACCTCCCGGCTGGCACGGAGGGACACATCCCTGCGGAGGGACGGGGACCCGCTCTGGCTGCTTTTAGGAGCCACCCTGAGTTCACAGCTGCTTCCTGCACAGTCCAGCTCTAGCCCGGTGCTGGGGCTGTCGGGCCGGGGGCTCCCGGAGAAGCGTGGATGGACCTGTGCTCCTTGCTAGGGCACAGCGCCGCAGCTCCCGCTGGGCGATGGGCGGTGCGCTGCCGGCGGCGTGCAGCCGCGGTGAGAGAGAGCCCTCTGCCTGCCTGCCGCAGCCCGGCAGCTCCAGCCCGGCCCGGACACCCCGCTCCCTGCCCCGGCACCTCCTCCTGGCTGCTGGCGCTGCCCTCAGGGTCCCCCCGCAGCCATTCATCGCGGGGATGAGCGAGCCCCGGCCCCGAGCATCTCCTCTCCGGACGAGGGTGACCCTCACCAGCCTCGGTGGCCTTTCCCCAGGCTCACCCCTTTGAACGCCTTTCAGCTGCCAGGGACACAAAATCAGCACAGGTGTTTTAGGCACAATTGCACGATGTCGCCTAACAGGGAACAATCGCTCCCCCCTGAGCTAAACAAAAACCAAAAAGCAATCCTCATCAAGCTGTCAGGCTCCCGAAGGAATACAATTAAATCTTTAAATGGCAACGTGGCCGTCAGTTCTTCCCCATCTCAAAAGATGCTTCTCAAGCTGCGTTCGGCTGTTCCTCTCTTCCACCCCCTCCTCACAGTTTTCCTTCCCGCCGCGGAGTGCAACAGAGGCTGCGGCTTCGCAGCCAAAAAAAAGTGCGATTTGGAGAGCGCGGCGCGACGTTGTGAGTGGCAGAAGTGAAAAGGCAGAGAAGCAACTCCTGAAAGCCTGCCTTCTGCCGCGGCGGGTGTCAGCCTTGGCAAAACCCGAACTTCCAGAATTTTCTTGCAAAATTAAAAAAAAAAAAAAAAGGCAATTAGAGGACCTGTCGGATTTGGCTGCTGCTTTTCTTTCCCTTGCTCCCTCAAAATCAAAAAAGTTCTTTCTTTTGCTTAACAGCACAGTTGGTGCAATCTGGGATGTACTTGCCTGACTGTATATGGGGATGTAGTTTTGCTGTCTCAATTTGGGGTTCCCTGACACTGACAAGATGAGAAATGAATGCTGAATACCTTGATGTTGCTTCACTTGGAAGAGCCATGCATGAATAATTTTTTTTTTCTCCCCAAAAAGACTGGAAATCTATTGGTCCCCCTTATTTCCCCTATTTTCCAGGTGCTTTCCTTCTGCCGTGGGTTTGGAGGGACTCCATTAAAGGGGAGACACTAAGAGAGAGGAAGGGAGAGCAGAGGAGTTCTGCTGCCCCACGGCTCAGAGCTGCAGGTGGAGCCAAGGCAAGGGCTGTGGTGGAGCTGAGCATGATGCTGAGCATCCTTCTTGCTACCCTGTTCTTGTCCATGGTGTGTCTGGGTAGACCTCCAACCTGCTGCAGCAATTTCAGCTCCTACAACAAGGGTAACAAACAGTAAATATGATGGCTGCTAATAGTAACCCTCTCTCTCCATCCTCGATGGGTTATAGATGCAAAAAATGCTGCTGAGTCAGTTCAATATTCCCCCTGGTTCATTAAACCAGCATCCATTTTCCTGCAGATAAGGCAGTCCGTCAGGGGAAGGGATGATGATAACTCATTTGTCACACTTGTTAAATGTAGAAAAGGCTGGCTTTGGGTCACTTCCAGTTTTGTGTCAGCTCTGCCTTTATCTGAACAGCCCCATGCCTGCACGCCAAGCAGGGCGGCTCTCTCCTGTGTAGCACAGGAGATGGGGACAGTGGCATTGTCCCTGCAAGATTTCCTAGAGCTGGAGGTGGTCTCTGGGTGCAAAAGCACTTGCAATGTGGCTGACATGAGTCCCAGCTCATGGAAAGGAATGCACTCATTATTGCAAGAGATGCCACTGGTCCCCCAGGGATGTAAACCTGCAGCTTGGAACCCCTGGCCCTACACACAGGGTGACCCTGTCTGCGTTATCCCCTGAGCCCACCCAGCTGCACTTGTGTTTGAGCTGCAAAGCTTGAGGTGTGATGGGGAAGGATACCAGGCCAAGGCCTCAGACACAGCCAACGTGAGCTTGGTGCGGGTATAGGGGGGGAAAAGGGGATACAACTTCATCTCTGTGCCTCTCCTCACCTCGGAGCACCCTGGGATGACTGGTCTGGGCCTTGCCTAAGGTTGCACTGTCCCAGTGGATATAATTTGCCAGTTCAGGGTGGCTGCAATGTGAGTCATTTTGGCTGTACCCTCTTTGGGGGCATTGCCATCGTGACATGTCACCTCCTTTCTCAGCCTGGGATGAGGACTGGCCACAGCCCCTACATATGCTAGGATGGAAACACCTACAGCCGTGACCCCTCAGGTCTTGCTACAGGGAAGGCAGCAAGAAGTAACCAAGAGAGGCTGGGAAGAGTATTGACCTCTGAGTGAGTGATCATAGAGCTGTTCATGGCTGAGGTACTTTCAGGGCATCATAGACTGCACTGCCAACCAAAACTTTGCTGCAGAACAGACCCCTGATCTGGTCTGGTGTGGAAATGTTCTCCAGTGAGTGGGAGGCAGGGAGGACTGCAGGTCTTTCTGCCCATAGCTCCCCTGATGAATGAAGCCTGGGACAGGATGAAGGTGTGGAGACCTGGGCAGGAAGGAGGTGGCATCTCATGATGCTTTCAGGGAAGCATCTTCATGATCTGTCCCCACATCTCACTATGGCACAGCCCAGAGACAGCCTGCTGATTAAACCATGCACTCAGCAGATGATGAAGTGTCCCATGACAGCCTGTCTGCATTCCCCACCTCTTGCCTCACCTCTGCTTTCAGGGTGGGTACAAAGGTGGATCCTGATGCCTTCTCCCAGCTCCATGGCTGGTCTGCACTGATTGCTGCCCCTTGGCATGAGGTCATCTTACAGCTGGAAAAAGATGAGGCAGCTGTGGCATATGAGATGAGATGAAGGGTCAGAGGGGCTGATAGGCTGTATTTTAGTCTTGATCTTGTCGTTCATTTATGGGTGTTTTTAAGTCAGGGTGTGCTGATTTGCAGCATGACAGGCAGCTGCAGGCAGCTATTGGGCAGGGCTCTGAGCTCCTGCCTGTTTCAGTGGCAAACACATGTCCTCTCCGAAATCTGCCTCTTCATAATGACCCTGGGAAGTGCTGCAGTAGCAGCAGGGTCAGACTGCGGTGATTTATTTCCTCTTCAGCACTGGTCCTAGCAGGGGAGGGGGCCCTCTCCACTTGGCTGCCTTTGCCTGCTTGCCATAGATCTTCCAGCACGGAGTCACCCAGGCCTCTGCTCTTCAATCTGGGTCTGCGCTCTCCTCCACGGCTGCGTGCGGCCCCGACCTGCAGCAGCATCCCTCACTCCTGCTTTAAATCTCTCCCAGCAGCTGCTGGAGACATTAGCATTTTCTCTTGCCAGCCCATAGAGATCAGGAGACCAGCCCTGCTAAGGAAGGAATTAACCCAGCAGCATCACATATCAGAGGTATATTTTTATTGACTGTTTACAGAAATACAGTAGCACTCCAATTAGGTGGCTTAGGCGAGTTCTCCAGAAGGTGCCTTCCTTCTCAGCACTGCTAGGAGATCCCAAGGAGAAACCTGCCCTTTCACACTTTGGCGTTTCTCTGGAGGCTTTGGGGCTCCCCAGCATAAACTTCCTAACACCTTCAGCTCTCCAGGGGTTGGGAGTTGTTTGAACCAGTGGATGGAATTCAAGAGAAAAAAAAAAGGAAAAGAAACCCCCTCAAGCTGGGGGTGGTGGGGCGGTCTGAACACACCTGATATGTTGTAAGCCAGCCCTGCCATGATCCCCATCCATCACTGCATGTGTCTCCAGCTCCACAGGACCCCACTGCTTCCCAGAGCTCAGCTGTCTGCCACTAAGTGTGCGTAGCTCTGGGCTTTGCACGCTCTTTTCACACAGCTTGTTGGCCATAAAACAAATATTCCTTGGTCTATTTTTCTTCCTGTACACGTGTAAGAGTCAGGCCCTTTCCTTCAGCTGTTCACATACCATTTCAGGGCAAGAAAGGTATGCTCAGCTGGGCTGATAAACTAATTTAACATTTATTTATGTATTTAATTGACTTTTTTTTTTTTTTTTTTGGCAATCAAGGTGTAGTGGTTGGCTTGTTTTGTGTGTCCTTGCTACAAGAAACTGCAGACACTTCTGGCATAGAGGCATTTTGGCGGCAGCAGCTGCTGTTGGCCTCACTCAGTAGTCAGTGAGAGGGTATCGCAGGAAGATGAAGATAAGGATGATACAGAAGGTGGCAAGGGCTGAGCTGGTGATGTTAAAAAGCCGGGCTGTCTTGGCATCTTCAACTGCTCCATTTAAGTCATTGAGGAGTTTCTTATCCCGGACCTGAGACAAAAAGATAATTAAATAAAGTAATTGCAACACGTATGAAAGACATGACTTGTTTCAAGCAACAGCCACAAAACCCAGTGCACCTGTACGTGGTTACCTGTGCAGGTGCACTGTGAGGGCTGGGCTGGGCCTCTGTGTTTGAGCACTTGGGGTGCCATAAAACGCCCTGAGGTGAGGTTTGCACCCCGTCTCTGCTATGGGTTGAGCTTGTGAAGCCAAGCACTGTAATACTTGTGGGCTGGAAATTCTTGGAAGCAGAGAAGATCTGGAAGAGTGGCCCGCTGCTGTTACCAACCAGGCAAACCAGGGCCCCACGGTCCCTGGAGTGGGGCCGTGTCATTTGGAGCCTGAAGGTGCACAAAGGAACTGAGATGCCATTGTACACCCCAGGCACACAGGCACTCAAGCACACTTCGTTCCCACCATGTCACAACGCCCTGGCCCTGCAGTGCCAGGCTGGGCCCACCCAGCCCACAAGGGAGGAGGCTGCAGGTCTGGTGTGCATCCCTGTGCCTCCCTCTGCACCGAGTGGCCGAGCGGGTGAAAGCTGGCACAGCATCCTACTGCAGCTCCAGGGCTGTGCACGAGCCTCCAGCATATTAAGTAGTCCTGGGTTAATGAGTTCCTTTCCTTTTGCAGGTCTTATGCGGATTGTGTAGCATCTCTGCCACAGGCAGCTTTCCATTCTGACAGCACAGTCTGCTCCCTTCATTATCCCGCAGCTTTTATGGGATTTTATGGGCTTTCCTTGGGACAGCTCTGCAGTGGGCGATGATTGTGCATGTCCATGTCACTGGCCTGTCCCCACCTTTCCCAGGCTGCCAGGCAGTGCATGGCACGGCCAGCAACAAAGCCACTAGCGGGCATTGCCGATGCACTAGCGACAGCATTAGCAGGCAGCAGATGGCACTGCAAGGCAGCAGATGACACTGCCAGGCAGCAATGGCATTACCAGGCAGCATGTGGCACTGCCAGGCAGCGGATGGCACTGCCAGGCAGCTGATGGCACTGTGCACCAGCAGCAGCTCTGCAGTTGGATCCCAGCAGAGGAGGGGTCAGACTCCACTGCTTCCTAGCAGAGATATGTCCCTGTCCCCAGGCTGCCCCTTCAGCCAGCACTCAGCAGACTCAGGCAGCTGGAGCCACAGGGATGAACAAAAGGACCTGGACAAAAGGACCAGGACACTTGACCCCCCCATCCATCTCCCATATGCAAGCAGGGTGCCCAGGGTGTGGCAGGGCCTGCCCCCCTGTCCTCTCTTGGGTGGGGTTGTGGGGACTCGGGCTGTGAGCCCTTGGCCTGCCCTGCTGCCAGCAGTGAGAGCCCCGCTGGGCACTGCTGGTGGACACCAGATGTGGGTGGAAAGCTGCAAAAACCAGCCCCAGAGTCAGACCAAGGAATATTAAGAAGCTTTTATCGATTAGGAGCTTTCTGAAAAGACACTGCGACAGATTCAGACCACATCTTACAGACTTTTCTCTCTTCCTCCTGCAGGGTTTACCTGCAGGGCTGTCCTGAAAGCCTTCTGCTAGACATGGGGAAGGGCTGCTGCACCCCTTGTTCTCACTGACCTGCTGCTTCACAGGTCCTCCAAAACTGCATTTCAGACCCTCAAGCAACATTCCTCCTCTCCATCACACCACTGAGGACCTCTCTGCACAAGCAACCCCTGATCTTCTGAACTGTGGGTAGAGAAGCTGCTGTTAGCATGAGACCCACGGGATCTGGTGCTGGCAGGCACATAGACAAGAATGAGCCTATTTTTCATACTTGTATTAAATCAAACTGTGCCATGTCCTCAGCCTGTGATGTGCCCTGCTCATTGGAGCCCAGAGCTGGAGCTGGGGCCATTGCCCTGCTGTGGAGTGCTCAGCTAGCATCCTTCTGGGATTGGGAAGAGGGACAGTCACAAACTCCATGTGTCTTTTGGGCACACTTGGCTGGAGCTCTCAGCAAAGGAGATGATCTCTGGGAAAGCATCAAGCCGGCAGCTTGGGAGCCCACATGCCTTTCTGTGTCAGCTGAATGTCCGGGATGACTCACATTTGAAATTATTCAGTACGTTTAACATCCTCCCAAAAACCCCTGGGCTCAGCAGCAGCAGACATTTGGCACCTCCTCACGCACTGGTGAGAAGCCCCAGAGGTGCTGGATTCAGGCCAGAAATCCCGCTTGCCGCTCCCAGCAGACTCTTTGAAGCTCTCACACACTTTCCTCTTCCCAGCGGTGGGGCTGCCTCAGGCAAAACCGACATGGAGCAAATGCCTTTTGCCCCTTCCCGCACTGTATCCCGGTGTTCTGTGCCGCAGGCACGCTGGCCTTTGCCGTCAGTGTTTGCTGTCACACGGAGCTTTCCCCAGCAGACCGGCACGGCCGGCACACCGAGCTCTGCAACCCTCCCGCAGCCAAGCCGCTTCACCTGTGTGAGGAGGCCAGTTCCTCTTGGCCCCAGGAGCTGTCTCCTACTCCTCACCTCCCGTTCCTCCTCTCCCTGGGGCGCCCTACAACCCTAATTTCCAGGCTCAGCCTTCTCCAGTGCTCCCAGCAGCCTCTCCCAGCAGCATCTCCCACCTGGCACCAGCTCACACTCGTGACTGGTGCTTTAGCCCTTTCCCACGACACACTTCAGCAGCACCTCTCCTTGACTTTCCCATGGCTCTCCCTTTGGCCCTGCTCCTGTCATGCTGCCTAGGGCTGCCCTCTCCCCAGTGACACCATTTCCCCACAGTTCCTTTTTTTTATCCCTTCTATCTCTTCCCTTTCCTGTTGTTTGAGTCCAAACGACGGCTGCCTTGCTCCTACCAAAGGGCACCCAGCTGCCTCCTCTCCCTGCACCTCCAGCTGGTTCCACCCACACACTCCTGCTAACCCCTGTGGCTTCAGTGGTCACCCTCATGGAAATCATCCCTGATTGCCCATATCATTTACACTGAAATGGAGCCTCTAAGCACCAGAGAAGTGCAAGGGCCCCCATGGGATAAAAAGTGCAATTAAAAGGAGTTTCTCCTTACACACCACTCACAGCTCCAGCCTCCCACATCTCTGCAGGGCAGCCTTGCCTCCTCCTGCATGGCTTTGCACCCCCAGATGCTTCCAGATGTCCCACTTTAATGTCCTACTGTGGCAACTGAGCCAGGCTTTGGAGGAGCTCTCCTGGAGAGCAGATAAAAGTTTCGGCTCCTTCCCTGCTTTGTCCTTAAGGAGATGCTGGTGTCTGTCTTAGGAAAAGCTTCAGCTTTTCCTATTTTCATGCTCCTGTGGCCACCATCATCATAATGTGCTGGCAGCTGGTGCTCGAGCTTCTGGGAGCCCTGGAAGCTGATTCTTTCCACAGCCAGAGAGATGAAGCATAGTGAGGGACAGGTCCTCAAGGTCACAAGGCTGAACCCCCACCCAGACCAAGGTGTGGTGTTTTCTTAGCCACAGGCTCTTCTCATCATCCCTTTGACCCTTTTCTCTTGCCTAAAACTAGATGGTGACTTTTGGCCCTGCTTTGCACTGAGATGACTGGAGTGTGATGATAATTACATTTGTTGACTGGGGCTTCCCTGGGCACCTCCAAGCACTGTGTGATGGCATCCTTGGAAATCCCCCTTTGGACAAGGCAGAGCTCACCTCTGATCCAGGCTGGCAACTTAAACAATTTCTTTCTTCTTCCATGCCTATCCTTACATGAAACACAGCCAGCTTTTGATGCAAATCCTGGGACCAAGAGGAGCTGGCCTCTCCTTTCCCAGCAACAAAAGGTGGTGTGGCCTTTCCATCCATCCATCCATCCATCCATCCATCCATCCATCCATCTATCCATCCATCCATCCATCCATCCATCCATCCATCCATCCATCCATCCATCCATCCATCCATCCATCCATCCATCCATCCATCCATCCATCCTTATTTGCCTGTCTCCTCCCTGCTGCTCACCTTACCTTCCAATATCTCCATCTCACTGTGTCCTCCCACACCTCCAGCGTGTCAATGCCCAAGGGTTCTTTCTCTCCTCCCTCTCCTCACTGTCCTCTGCCCTTTGTTTCCTTGGGGTTTTAGATTCTGCAACGTCTCCAAGGGCTCCCCTTGGCTCTGACCACCCCAGTCCCTCCCCCAGCAGTTGCCTCCCCTCTCTCAGCCCCTCTCATTTTTGGGAGCAGCAAACTTGCTGCTCTAGTGAAAAGTGCTGCCTCAGCTTGCAGAAGGAGACAAATGGTTTGTTGATAACGAGTCTAATGAGGCTGTTTTTAAGGCAGCCTGGAAGTCCACAGCTGGTTGTCAGTAAACCCATTTCTATGCAGAGCTCCATGTCCCTGCACAGAAGGAGCTCTGGAGGCGATCCTTGGATTTATTTGCTCTGTGAATTGCTCAAGAGCTCTCCAGCCCACGTGCCTCCACCACGCCGGCACTGGCATCACGGGACTGTCACCCCTGCATTTCACCCACATCCATAAACCATTGCTCCTTCCACAAAGCAGGATGAGAGCCTGCCTAAGAGGCTGGGTGAGGCAGCCTCTCAGGGTTAATAAATAGCTGTGGATTTGTGCTGGTCTGCTTCCACTTGAAACAAGGAAGATCAACAAGTGGCAAGAGAGGAGGGCAAACAGTCGTGCCCACAGCTGTGTGCTAAGGGCTGGGCAGAGAGTGGGCAAGAGAGCTTGGCACATTTCCATGACCTCAAGGGGCAAGAAAACTCTGCAAGCAATGCTGTGGGCTGCTGGTGAGGCTTAAAAAGCCAGCAAGGCTCCTTGGCATCTTCATCTCTATAGAGCCACAACGAGGCATCCATACTGCAGCTCATCTCAGATCCCAGCTCCTCTGATCTACTGCCTCATGGCACAATGGGTACAGAGGACTTGGCTCACCCCAGCAGTCTCCAGAGACGAAGCTCTGAACAACTGAAGTGAGATCTCCTGCCACCAGGCACTGATGCATCATTCATTACCACTTGGAGCTGGGAAAGGGGAAGGGAGGGAGCTGCTGAATATCAGACCACAACATTTGCTTCTGATCAAAATCAACTGACTCCAGAGCTTTGCTGTTGCAGTGATACTTTTATCTGTGCTGGGCTGGGGTTAGGGTTACTTTAGGGCTTTTCTAACTTCTCTGGTCCTGCTGTTGATCTCTCCTCCCCCAGCATCCAGCACACATGATTAGATGCAAGTGCCTTGCTTGCACTCTGGGAGGCTGACCTTGAGAAGCCTGGCATGCTGGAAATGACCCCTGGAGGGATCCATGAGTTGTGTGACCCCACTGTAGCCCTGCAAGCTGTGTTCGCTGAGGATCTGGCCTGCTATGGGGGTAAATAAAGATGAGGCATGCTGCCACACTCCTGTTCAGGGTTCTTGGCTGTGACATCTGTCACACACAGAACGTGGCTTGTATGTCACAGTTTCTGCCCTCACCTGAAAACATGTGTTTCTTTCTTCACAAATTCTTTGGTGCTGGGGTGGGGGTTTTTGACATTTTTTAGTAAATGGTTATCACCCTGCAATAGCATCTCCCTGCAGAAAGAAATCTAGAAGGCTGTAGCTAGCATGCAAAAGGCCAGGCAGACATGCCCGTTTTCCCAGATGTGGCTGAAACCAATAAAATAGGGCATGAGGAAGGAGGCAGCTTCACAGTAATATTCCAGTGTACCAAGGATATATCTGTCTTCCAGTGTGGGCATTATGCTGCTGAAACCAGAGGAAATGCTAGGGTGTGCTAAGATATGTACTGAAACATCTCATGGACTTGGGTCACGAAGGAGATACTGCTTTATTAACAGCATGAATCTGCCAGAAGCAAGTGACCTTTATGACAGGGAATTGAAAATACTATTTCTGATAGTGAAAATGATAATTCCCGAAGTTGCTAAATGTTTCAGTTTTTTAAAGTAAGTCTAAAAAGCTAGGTGTAACCCCAAAGTGTAACCCCAGGAACCACTTAATGTTATCAGTGCACTGATGGCTCTTGAAGAAACCTGTGTTCCACTGGCTGAGGGCTCTGTGTCAGGGGTCGCAGAAGAGGCTCAAGGGAGAGGAAGGTGCAGCTTCATTCTTCTTCCTACTACCCCTTAGTCAGTCCCTAGAAAGGCAAGACTTAAGTGCCTACTGCTCATATGTCCTTACATTTAATTGCAGAGGAACAAGATAGTTCCCTGTTTGAAGGGATATCTGTTCCCAGGGCATTTCTTGCTCCTGTTTTCTCTGAACTTCTGGGAAAAACATTACTGACAGTAAAAGAGAAGAAAAAATGTTTCTAGAGAAATAACCATAACACCCAGCCTGGCTAGGGTGCTGTGAAGATCCCTGCAGTAGCTGTGGGTAAGGAACCCAGCTGCCTTTCTGAACATCCCAGTCTTCCCCAGGACAGACCTGCTAGTGCCCCAGCATCTGCATTGCCTCTCACCACTCACCCCAACAGCAGCTCATGAGAGCACTCGGCATCCCTTCAGCCACTTGCTAGCTCTGTCCTCTGCCTCTGAGGGACATTTTGTTTCTATTTTCCCCCTGCCACAGAGTCACAGCCACTGGGGAGCTCCAAAACCAGAGCAGAGTTATTTCTACCCGCTCAGCATTGCCTCTGTTTGGGTACCGCAGTTACATCCCATCAGCTACCGCCTTCCCAGCCCAAAAGCCAAGGCTGGTTTTTGACAGCCATCTTCTATTCTCCTTTCTCTGATTTGGAGCAAATTTGCCCATTTGCCTTCCCTCACCACTGCCTCTTTTTTTCATGCTTTGTGTCCTCTAGGTCTTTGCAGACAGATGCCGAGCCCACACCTCTGTCCCGGTGCAAGGCCCCGGGTTACTCCTGGGCTTTGCCCTTCCTTCCATCCCATGTCAAGGATAGTGAAGGGTCCAGCCTCTAAAAACACTGTGGGTGGCAGACACTACCTTGTCACCAAGGGATGGGTCAGCCCTGCTCTCAGGCTGTCCTGCCCTCACTGCTGCAGCAGCAAGGAACCACATGTACCCAGACACCCACGGAAGCCTCTTCCACGGGCAAGATGTCAATTGTTAAAGGCAAATACAGACAAGGAAAGGCTTAAAGAAACAAGGAGGAAGCTAGTGTTTTCTTCCCTTGTTGGATCAAGGTGCGGGGGCTGTTAAGGGACTTGCTCCCCCCACTCATACGAGCCTGCTGCTGGCTGGATTTGCCCTTTGCTTGTGGTGATGCTTCGCCCCAGGATGATTTAAGTTATTAAGTGCCTCACGCAGGCAGCAGCAGAGCCTCCTGCACAGGCAATGGATGAGAGCTCATCTCCCATCTTGGGAACGAGAAACTGAGGCAGGCACCACCAGGCCAGTGCTCGGTGAGCCCAAGACAGGGGGCTGCAGACTTCTCCCTGGGCCTTTCTGATGGGGACCCTGAAGAGCTGGGAGCAGCCTCCTTGCAGTGCTGGGTGCTCACAGTGCAGCTCACAGGAGCTGTATGGGGTTAATTGATCTGCTTCTGTGATGAAGCCTGTCTGCACCCTGGCCTTCCTCTAAATGCTGCCTGCCAAAACAAATCAGCCAGCTCCTCTCCGGGCCACCCAGCCGCCCCGGGCTCTCTGCACATCCATTCAGTTAGTTTTACATCTGGCAGGCAGGGAAGGGGAGGGCAGCCCAGGCCCCTCTCTCCTGGCAGCTGCCAAGGTGCTGCCTGTTTGCCAGGCACCATTCCTGCCGGGCTGCTCTCCCCTGCAGCTATCAGGAATAATAACCTGGTCCCATTCCCATCATGGGCTGTGCTCCACGCCATCACCCTCTCCAACAACACAGCTCTCTATCCCCCCAGCCCGACACTGTGGGAAGCCCCCTGCACTCTCTTCCACCTTCTCACCATTCCCATGATGCTGGCAGGTCTCCAGGCCTTGTTTTGGGATTTATAGGGCTTGGGGTGGGGGAAGCTGGCCACGAGCTCTGGTGTTTTAATTACGGAGAGGGCAAGAAAGAAACAGGCAGGATTGCCCTGCACTTTGTAAGCTTCTTACCCCCTGCAACTTGCCAGCTGACGGCTGATCCTGGCTGGCTGCTTCTTACTGTTCCTGCTTGACCACCCAATGCTGCTGGGTCCTATCCTGATGATCTCTAACAGCCAGGATCCCAAATAAAGGACCTAGTGCTGGCGTGCCTGCAGGTGCAGCATGAGCCAAAGCAGCCCTGTGTTGCCTGCCTGTCACCCTGCACCACGGTACAGAGGAGCCTCGGAGGGTACTTGGAGCAAGTGAAAGCACCTCTTCCCCACCTGAAGTAACATCTTTGGCTCCTCAGCTCTTCCCATCCCCATCCCCATTGTCTGCAGCCTCTCATTTGGGTGGCAAAGTGGGGTTTCACATCAGGCACAACCCCCGAACGCTTCCCCCTGCCCGGTCACCCCGCACGCCGAGCCCCGCGCTCAGTACTCACTTTCAATGAATAGGCCAAGGCGATGAAGCCAAGGCAGCAGAAGTTGAGGTATACAAAGTTGAAGATGGACCAGAGATAGTAGTCGTTCACCTCGGTGGTGTCTGGGTAGATTTCAATGACAGTGGTGGGGTTGGTCATCGTCTTCTTCTCCACCGAGTGCTTGCACGGGACCGCTGGCCGCAGGCTGTCCCCTTTGCAGCTCTTGCTCTCCATGAGATAAACGGCAGAAGAAGGAGACAGGACGGGCGAAGCTTGCCGGAGAGCTGGGGGCTTGGCGATGCAGGCGAAGCAGCCCTGCGGGGGGCCCTGCGGGGGTCTCGGGGTCCAGGCCACCCCCTCAAAGGGGCATGGCGGGCCCAGGGGGGGGTCCTGTGTCCTCTCCGTGGTGGCTGCCGCGGCGTCACCGCGCTCTGCCCTGGCAAAGCCAAAAGCCCCCCCGTCAAAAATGGGGGTGAGGGGATGGAAAGGCCGGGGACAGAGGGAAAAGAGAAAGGGGGAAAGGAGCAGAGAAGGGGAGACGTGGGGGGAAGGCAGGAGAGACAGAGAGGGACCGGGAGACCGAGGAGAGAGCAGGGAGAGGAGTGAGGGAGTGGGCAGAGGAGAGAGGGAGGAGAGTAGGGCAGGCAGGAGAGGGAGGAGGGAGCACCGCTACACCCGGGGACCACGACGCCGCCGCCTCGGCGCGGAGCTGCCGCCGGCCGCGGCCCCGGGCGGGGGCAGAGGCGCGGGCAGGGCGGGCAGCATCCCTCCCTCCATCCCTCCCTCCATCCCTCCCTCCCCCTGTGCCACGGCCTCCCCCCGCCGCTGCCCGCTGGCCTGCGTGACCCGCCTTCCAGTCACCACCGGGGAAATCATCCTTTTTTAAAAAAGGACACAAATAAAAGCAGAAAGAAACACTCGGGAGGCGCCGGGGGGCTGCGAGGGAGTCGCCAGCCGGCCGCGCTGCAGCCCCCCGCATCCCTCCCCGCCCGCCTGTCTGTCGGTCTGTCGGGGCCTTCTCCTTTCTGTCCCATGCCGGGATGGGAGCCGGTGGCTCGGCTGCGGGCGGAGCGGGTCTCCCGGTGCGGCAGAGCAGCCCGCCCCTCCGCCCTGCCTCCCTCCCTCCCTCCTTCCTTAGGGGGGTGGGCATTTTGGGGGGGATTTTTTTTCCCTGAGTCCTAGTCTTTACGGTGATTCCATTTCCCGGTTCCTTCCACCTGCCAGCAGGTTTCCCATACCCCCCTCCCTCCACCTTTTTTTTTTTTTTTTTTAAGGGTATCGTGGCTGAGGAGGTGGAGGAAGAGGAGGAGGGGAAGAGGGGATGAAGACAGAGGATGGGGAAGGGGATATTAGAAGAAGTTCCCCTCCACCCTAGCTTTGCAAATAGGAGAGACTAGTCCACCTCTGGCTGCCCGTCCGTCCGTCCATCGGTCTCCTCCGAAGGCATCAGGAGGAGCGAGGGATACTCACAAGGAGGGATGCGGGGAGTCGCTGCATATCCGGCTCAGCACTGCCTCCGGCTCGGCTTCCTCGGCGCTGGAGTTGAGGGAGGAGGGGAGGGCGGGGAGGGGGGCACCCATGGACCAGGGATGGGCAGGGAGGGAGTTAGGGGATGGGAAGGTCAACCTGCAGCCCCTGTCTCCCCCCGAACATGCTTCACGCAGGAGAGCTCCTCTGTGTCTCAGCCCTTCTCCTCGTGTCCCCCCCACTGGGACGTCACCTCCTGCTTGGAGCATCCTGGTAGCGCCCCGCTGGAGAAGGGCACCTCCTGGGCCCCGGCCGAGCGGCTTCCCCGAGCAGCAGGGGGGATGCTCGGCCCTGCTCTCCCCAGCGTCACCCACAGAGACATTTGCAGCGGGGACTCGCTGCAGCCTTGTTTGCGGGTTCACCGCTATGGACCTGGGTGAAAAAACTAAAATAAGTGTGGCAGGAGTGCGTGGGGACGAGCGGAATTAGCAAGGGGAGATGGTGGTGATGCAATGCTGTGGGGAAAAACGGGCTCTGGTGTTGAGGGGATGAAGGGAAAGGGGATAAATTCTGCGTGTGAGGTAATAGATCCTGCTGGCATGGAGCAAATCCCAGCGCAGGCGGGGTGGGGGCACTCCGGCAGCAGGATGCACGGCATGGGGCTGCTTTAGGGGAGGGGGTGGGGGTGTCACCAAGGCTGGTCAAGCCCGGGAGGATTAGGCTGTGCCCAGGCTTAGCACAGGAGCAGGGATGTGCTTGCTACCTCCCATTGCTAACACTCTGGAAGCTGCTCAGAATCCTAGCTCTAGGGTGCTGCGGTAGGGTCCCCCCAGGGACATGACGATGGAGAGCAGCTGGTGGCGTGCAGGGACAGCTTGCAGGTCATTCAGGAGGATGCACAGGGAGGGTGAGGACACAAGGACACGCCGTGTCACCCCACAGTGTGACATAGCGTGGCGCAGGTGGCCTTGTTGCAGCAGGCAGTTCAGCTGTGGTGCTGGGGAAGGGGAGCAGAGAAATCAATCCCCAGAATACTGGAAACGGGGTGGGTAGAACAAAAGTTGATGTGAGCAGAAACTGCAAGGGAAGGGAAATCCTCTGGAAAAGCCTTAAGCCTACCCACAAAGTGCTGAGCTAAGAAATAAGGATGGTAATTCACTCAGCTCTTCACAGGCAGGTTTGGCTCCAGTGTAGGGGCACCCACCCTGTGTTCATCCCTGTGGGTTGGTCTGATGTGGGGCAACTTCTTGCACATCCAAAGGTCTCTGAGACTGGAGGAGGTCCAGTTTCCATGAGACCAACTTAATCCTTCTGAAGCCTGCATTGGTTAAAAAAGGACAAATTGCCCTCTGGTTCAGGATTTATTGCTGCTGGAGTGGTGTTGGGTCCTGCCAAAGTAAAGAAGGTTTTATTACTGCTACAGCTGCCTGTGATGAGATCCAGATCTCTCTCCAAGAAGCTGCAAAGAAACAGAGGCAGTACTAGGGTGAGAGTGATGCTCCTGTGGGATTAAGAGGTTTGCAGGAGAGGCAGAGCCATGGCCAGCTGTCGTCAGCTTTTCTAGAGGGCTTGGACAAACTGAGCTGTGCAGAGCATCCTCCCTGCAGGCTCAGGAGGAACAATGAAACCCCATGGATGCAGACTGGAGCTACAGATGAGCCTGCTGTTTGTTTGTCTGGGGAAAGTTGTGTGGGTAAGGATGCTCCTCTTCTTAATGTCAGGCAGGGATGGAGGGTGAGCAGAGAAAAAGGTCAGAGAAGGTTTGGAGCAGGCAAGAGGAGGCAGCAGGGTGGTGTAGGGGAGTGTGAGATCAACAGAGAGAGTCACATTCCCTGGTATGAATAGGACTGAAAGGTCATGGAGGTTGAATAGCTGCTTTTCCTCTTCTCCAGGTACCAGGTCATCCCTACAGTTTGCAGAGCACTTTTTGGTCTTTGTGTGACTGATTCATCATCTTCCTCAATGTTAAGTGTGAGTGGTGAGAGGTTTATTACATGGACCACAGTGGCATATATGCAGTATCACTGGTTGAACAACCATTCATGTGACCTCAAGGAACTGACATAAAAAGTGGAAGGAATAAAACCCTTCAATATTCTATGTTGTTTTAACCCTCCTCCAATTTTCTAGGCATCTTCAAAGGTCATGCATGCATGCCCTCAACCATATGGTCTAGGACTACTTTCCTTTCAAATAAAAGGTGGGGTGAGTATGAATAATTGCCTACATTACTGTGGCATCAAGGCTGGCTTCCCCTTGTGCTAAGCACGGGACAAACAGAACAGAAGGATGCTTGCTGCCCCAAAGCAATTCTCACATAATCACATTAGAGACATGTGGGCTGTAGCATCATCAAATGCTGTAAGACCTGTGAGAAAATCTTCTGTCTCAAATCCTACTCAAGCTCTTCAGAAGCCATTAGCAGAACCTAACCTTGCTTTTTTTTTTTTTTTTTTTGAATGAAAAAGTCCACAGCCTCCTGAATGCTCCTTTCCTATTACCCCTATAAAATTGCTCAGTGGTTGCTAAGTTCCATAAACAGGCAGCCTGAGACTCTGAGGGGTAAATCCAATTTTCCCACTCTCCCTTGATCTCTGTCTCCTGTTCTCTGAGCTTTCATTCTGCACTCCGCTTCTCTTCCCTCCCAAAGAAACCTAAAAATAAACAAATCCAAGAAAGAGCGGAAAAAGGAAAAGCCATCAGCCCCCAAAACGATGTGCTTAGTCATTCATGGTGAGTAAAAATAGTTTCCCAAATGAACAAATTGCTGAGCCAACCAGATGAGCAAGTCATCTCCATAAATGAGGGGTCTCATCTTCCCTCTCCTTGGGCAGGAAAAGGAAGCCATTGTGTTAATGGGCTTTTGGTAAAGCCCTAATCAGAATTGGAGAAGGATCTGGCCCATGAAGACAGCCCTGGGGGTCAGTGCCAAGCCCCTACTACTGAAGGGGACATGTAATGAAAAAATTGATAGTTTTTTGCACCAATGGAGACATTTAATGAAGAGTGAAATACCAAATTGTCATGTGCATGGAGTTCTGCAGAGATGGTGCAGTAAACAGGGGGGCTGAAGTAAACCTGAGGACTTTCTGGGCAAGATAGTGTGGGGCTGCATTCAGGCTGCTCCTGGGGCAGGGTGCGTGCTTTGCTCCCTGCTGGAAAAGCATGGGTGGGCAATTCCAGCTCTTGGCTTCTTCTGCTCTTGGCCAAGATCAAGGCTGTGATTGCTCCCACTGGGATGTAATGTTCTGTACACAAGGCATGATTGAAGACTTAGGCAGAATCCCCCCAGCAGAAATAGGGCCCTCATATTCCTGTCAATAAATATTTGGCAGCAGATGACTTGTTCTCCCCTTGGGCTATTGAGGAACAGTGGGCTGCATGATTTGTTTTCAGGATCCAGCCAGCCCTTTTGGGTTAAATCCATCTCTTTAACATAGGGGAACAGCTGATTGGGGAATTTAGGCATCCTGGGGGAACAGAGGCTCAGGAAATGCCAGTAGGGAAATCAGCTAAGCTGTGTGCTTAGATCTGTGCTCAGAAGATGGGATGGGACTTGGCTGCATCCATCTTGCTTATGTAGATGATGCTTTTTTCAAAGTAGGGATTAGCTCTTATCTTCCACCTGGCACATGGGGCCTTCATTCCGCTTCAGTCTCCAGCTCCCATACAGCAGAGCTGGGACTAAAAATTACACAGCTAGGCAAGAGGGATGGATTTTTCCTACACTGTTGAAAAAACCCGACACCATGTTCATCGCTGGGCTACAGGACTTCCCCAGACTTCACACCTTTAGTTGATTTTAGGCCAAACTTAGAAACTGAAGTTCTGCTTTGGCTGCTACAGGACCACTCCAAATCCTAAGCAGGAACTTGTTCTAATCCTAAGCAGGAGCTTGTTCTAACAGGTCTAGATGATCAGGGGACAGCTTGATTCCCTGTAAACAGACTACCCTTGGCAATACTCAGCTGGGGAGGTGTGGCCCCAGGAGAAGGCTGTAGGCCAGCATGGACACTGGGAGCGCCTGCTGCCCCAGTGGGGCTGGGTCAGGCAGGTGGCATTGTCATGTCACCTTGCAGAGGTTATGTTTTAATCCATTGAAAAAGACAAATCCAACAGGGTCTAGCATGTTTCCTTATCAGAGAGAAGGGGAGAAGCCCTTCTGAAACACACAGGAGTCCACACAAGAGGGTGACCAGATGTCCAGGGACAATAGGTCAGGGAGACACAGTCTCTGCACACCCACAAAGTCTGGCATCTAAAACTGCAAAAGAATGACCACTCTCAGAGTTAACGGGGAAAATACTGTATTTTCTGTTTCAATGTTCTGTGAAGAGACAATTAATTCTGACAGCAAAATAATTTTAAAAAACCAGTCACACGATTAGAGATGGGTTTAAAAATGCAAATAACAGAACAGGGAGAGGAGACCTATTCAGGGAAGACTGCAGTGAACTGGTCCTCCAGCCTATCGTACAGTGTGTCACTCAGAGCATCACTCTGGGCCATGCTTTCCCAGGCAGCTGCCTCCTGCCTGCTGACAGATCCCGGCCCCCCTGGAGTCACTGTGCTGGGACCACGCCCAGCACAGCCACGGCCCAAGGGCTCCGTCTGGAGCTGTGCTGCACATCCCACTTCAATCTGATGCTGAAGATGTTCAAAAGCCACTGCCAGGTCCATGTCAAGCCTCCACATCAGGTCTGTTCAGCAGGTACCCGAGAGGCCAACTCTGTCTTCCCATGCTGAAGAAATCCCGGGGCTGGGAAAGGATGTAGCAGAACTTGGAGGAGCTCAGAGAACTTAACTGGTGTGAAACTGAAGATCTCTGGAGAGGTGCTGAATATTTGCTAATTTTGGAGCAGCTACTGAAGATTTTTTTTTTTTTGGTAACATGCTACTGTTCTCTGACCAGTCTAAAACAGATGTCCTTTGGTGTCCAGATGCAGAGCTTCAGGTGAAGATTATGAGGAGGCAGAAGCAAGCTTTGGGGAGCAGCATTTGTCACATCTGGGGTTGTAGGGGACAAAGCATGTGTCCCATGTGTGCCTATGCCTGTCCCCACTGTCCATGCCAGACCCCCCCAAGGTGAAGCACGGTTATAATGCCAAACTTA